TTGTGTATGATATAATATTCAAATTTCATTCCATTGTAAATGAGTATCGGTTTTTTCAACACCATTTCTTTTTTTTTTTTCATGTTTCTAGTTTGTGAGGTTTATTTTATTTTTATTTTTTTAAATAATAATTTTATTTTTATATTCCCCATACAATTGCAACCCCATTCTGACCCCAATCCCTCCCCTCCCGCCCCACCCCCAAAAAGTGTCTCTGGTTCATAGTTTTTTGTTGATTTTTATTTTCACTTTCTTATAGTTATTCATTTTCCTGGTCCCTTATTTAGGTTTTCTAGATTCCTGCTATGAGTGAGACCATCCGGTATTTTTCTTTTTCTTTCTGGCTTATTTCGCTGAGCATGATCCCTTCCAGCGCCATCCATGTTGCTGCAAATTGCATGTGTTCATCTTTTTTGAATGCTGAGTAATATTCCATGGTGTATATGTACCACATCTTCTTGATCCAGTCATCTATTTTGGGGCATTTGGTGTTTCCAAAGCTTAGCTATTGTAAACAGTGCTGCTATAAACATAGGGGTGCAGATGCTCTTTGGAATTGATGTTTCTGTGTCCTTTGGGTAAATACCTAGGAGTGGAATTGCTGGATCATATGGAAGCTCTATGTTTAGTAGGTCCAGAAATCTCCACACAGCTCTCCACAGTGGTTGGACCAGTTTGCACTCCCACCAACAGTGCAGAAGAGTTCCTTTTTCTCCACACCCTCGCCAACACTTGTTGTTGCTAGTTTTTAATATGTGCCATTCTCCCTGGTCAATGCCATTTCTTGACTGTCTTTTCTCCATTGTATATTCTTTCACAAAATCTTTCTTTCTTTCTTTTTCTTTCTTTCTTTCTTTCTTTCTTTCTTTCTTTCTTTCTTTCTTCTTCTTTCTTTCTTTTTTCTTCTTTCTTTCTTTCTTTCTTTCTTTCTTTCTTTCTTTCTTCTTCTTTCTTCTTTTTCTTCTTTCTTTCTTTCTTTCTTTCTTTCTTTTTTTCTTTCTTTCTTTCTTTTGTTAGTCATTTTTGTGTAATGTTTGATTTATCCTCTCAGGTTTCATGCCATAAAATTCCACCAGGAAACTCCCCATGAACTGTACCCATAGTCTCTTGTTCTCTTCCATCCCCTCTTTTGATACCTTTTCCTTCTCCTCCGTGGTATGTCTCAGTTCTATATAGTTCCCAGCTAGTTTTGTCTTTTTTTCCTGACCCCCATGTCTGGTTTCCCTGTATTCCTCCTATATGTGAAACCATCTGATGTTTTTCATTTTCCTTCTGACTTATTTCCCTTGGTATAATCCCTGCCAGCTCCATCCATGTTGCTGTGAATGGCATGAGTTTATCCACTTTTAAAAAAGGTTTATTTATTTATTCAAGAACCAGGGTATAGGCCAGATGTGTGGGAAGGTGAGAGGATTCACCAGACACAGAGTGGGGAACAGAACAGGCACATTGATTGAAGTACACTGTTAAGGGGAGAGCAGCGGGTGTGACAGGAGAGGTCTGCCGTGCCATGTGGGTATCTTGTAGGCTGGCAGGGATCAAACCTGCCCTGCAGAGACTGTGGACAGCTTCACAGCTCTGTGCTCAACCCACTCTGCCACCAGGGGAGGCCTGAGTTTATCTTTTTTATTGCTGAGTAGTATTCCAGTTGGTATATAAACAAAATCTTCTTGAGCCAGACATCTGTTTTTGGGCATTTAGTTTGTTTCTATACCTTAGTCATTGTAAGCAGTGCTGCAATAAAACATAGGAATGCAGGCTTCTTTTTGAATTAATGTTTTTTTGTCTTTTGGGTAGATTCCTAGGAGTGGAATTGCTGGGTCATATGGTGATCCATTTTATTAATTTGAGGGTCCTCCACACAGCTTTCCAAATGGTTGGAGCAGTGCACATTTCCGCCAGCAATGTAAAAGTGTTCCTTTTTCTCCATATCGTTGTCAGCATTGTTGTTGTCAGTTTTTTTTTAATGTGGACCATTCTTGCCAATGTGAGGTGATCTCATTGTGGTTTTAATTTGTAATTCCCTGGTTATAAGTAAGGCTGAGTATTTTTTCATGGGCTTGTTGGCCATCTGCATATCCTCTTTGGAGAAGTGTCTTTTTAGCTATTCTGCCCACTTTTTGACTGGATTGTTTATTTGTTTTTGTTGAGCTGTATAAACTCTTTGTAGATCTTTGATATAAGTCCCTTATCAGTTGTGTGGAGTGCAAATATTTTCTTCCAATCTGTAGGGTGTCTCTTCATTTTGGTTATTATCTCTTGTGTTGTACAGAAGATTTTTAGTTTGGTAAGTCCCAGCTGTTCATATTTTCCTTCATTTTCTTTGTTTCAGGGAAGAGAATTCAAGGATATTTCTGAGCTGTATGTCATAGAGTGTTTTCCCTGTATATTTTATGGTTTAAAGTCTCACATTCAGGTCTTTTATCCATTTTGAGTTGGTCTTTGAGTATGGTGTGAGGTAGTAGTCTAGTTTCATTCTTTTGCATGTAGTGGTCCAATTTTCCCAGCACCATTTATTGAAGAGACTGTCCTTGTTCTAGAGCATATTATTTTTTCTTTTGTCGCAGATTAGTTGTCCATATATGTGTGGCTTTAGTCTGGGATTTCAGCTCGGTTCTATTGCTCTGTGTGTCTGTTTTAGTTTCAGTACCATGCTGTTCTAATTATTATGGCTTGGAAGTATAGTTTGAAGTCCAGGAGTGTAATACCTCCATTCTTCTTCCTTTTTCTAGACTGAGAAGCACTTTTGCTATTTGAGGTTTTTTTTGTGGTTCCATATGATATTCATCAATATTTATTCTACTGCTTTGAAGAAAACCATTGAGATTTGATTGAAATTGCATTGTGATTCTGTCATTTTTCATTTAACATAATTCAGCTAAAGTCCATGCACATTGTTACCTGTATCTTTAGTGGAATTTTAAATTGTAAAGTAGTATTCCATGCTGTGAATCTTTTGTTTTATTTTTTTTCTTTCCTCAGTTGAGATCCTTTTATATTGTTTCCAGTGTTGGGTGATTATAAACAAAGCTGATATAAAAGCATGGCTACAATTATTGTGCAAACACAGGTTTTTTAGTTCTTTGGGTAAATATCAGGGAGTAGCTTTTGGACCTTTGGTACTGTAGTTAATTGACTAGAAATTGCAAAAATGTATGATGCGCTCACAATTTAAATTCCCAACAGCAAGAGTATTCTGGTTTCTTCACATCTTTGCATCACTAGATATAAATTTCAAAATTTAATATAACCTATTTTCTTTTCATTTCTTCTCTGTATCAAAGATGTCTTGAGTGCTTTTAACAATTTGTTTCTTATTCATCTAGTGTTATCACTATAATCTCGGCCCAACAATGCTTTCTTTATCCTCAAAAACCCATATAGATCCATTTTCCCTGTACATGGTCTCTAGCTTATACTCCCAAGCAGAAGTATCACAGCTTCCTCATTACAGGCATGCGGGTGGTTATAGGTTTGCTCTATGTACCTGTATAACCTGGCATAAATATGTTTAATAATTTAATCATCAAACTCCAGTTTCTCATGGATAGAAAGGAGAGAATATTATTATGGCATTCTCTTATGATTGTCAAGAGATTTGCAGATCCCATACATGCAAACCAGAGAAAAATATCTAACATACATCTGGTGTTCTGAAATGTCCAATATTAATATTAACTGTTACTAAATATTACTACAGCATGGCTAACAATATGGTAGTGTTTAAACATTAAGTCTGCTTACCTGCATGTGCATGCCCATTTTGGAAGCAATGAGACATGTGTTAGTTGTACAGCATGGGCTTAGAAAGAATTGACATGTGTCATTTCTGGTGAGGTGAAGCACACCCAATTCTCTCCAGTTATCCCTCTCCTGCTACAGTGATTGAAGAGGCTTCATGTTTTGACAGTGCAGCTGTGAATGGGGAAGCCTCATAGCCTTGGAGGAGCACCCAGAGGGAGCCCTGCACTTGGCCAGGCCCCTGGGTGATAGGCATGGAGAGGAGTATGTGAGAAGGAAATCAGCAGGGGCTGAATAAATGTTCTCAAACACATCAGGTTCTAGTGCCTGTATTCTCTAAATATTACATGAGTCAGAATGTCTTTGCATGAGTAATTAGATTAATAGTACTAAGAAGAAGTATTTACCTGGATTATTGGGTGAGCCTGAATGTAATATTCGGTGTCCTTATAGAAGAAAGGGATAAAACTAGTAGATTAGTATAATTCAAGTGTCCATCCATTTGTAGATCTGGAAGTCAGAATCAGCTTTATTGGGTTGAAATCAGCACCCTGGCTCGGTCAAGCCCCTGAAGCCTGAGAGCAGAATTCACGCCTCGCTTCTTAGGTCTGTGCTGGCTGCCAGCACCCAGGGCTTGTGCCACATCAATCTCTGCTTTCACGATCACGCCACCTACTCATGTTTGACTGTGGTTGAACCTCAGTTCCCTCCTGTAAAGACACATGGGGTTGCCAGTGGAAACCTCCCTGGGTAGTCCAGGACGCTCTTCCTTTCAAATTGATGATCTCGGGCCTCCCTGGTGGCACAGGCTGTTGAGCACCACACTTGAAGCTGTCCACAGCCTCTGCAGTGCAGGTTTGATCCCGGTTGGCCAGCAAGAATCCCACATGGCGTGGCAGACCTCTCCTGTCTTGCCCGCTGCTCCCCTCAGCAGTGTATTCCGGTATGTCTGCCTGTTCTGTTCCCTACTCTGTCTCTGATGAATCCTGTCATCCTCCTGTGCCTCTGGTCTGTACCCTGGTTCTTGTATAAATAAATAAATCTTCAAAAAAAATAAAATGGTGATCTCAATCACATCTGCAGAGCCCTTCCTTTACCTCACATGGCAACACTCACAGGTGCCAAGGGTTAGGGTGTGGACTTTTGGTTGG